TGAACTAAGCCTCCGGTCAAAACCTGACCCTGAAGACCTTCATGGGACAGGAACTGTTATTTCATTGATTTGAATCCAGAAATACAAATTAGCTCATCCAGAGACTTTCTAACTGTATCCTGAACTAATCAATTGAAAGAACACTCTCTTTTTATATTGTCATTACTATTTTTACAAATGTCTTGATAATCAAAAGTGTGTTTAGTTCAAACCATTTTAAATGTTGAAGTGAACTACTAATTTTAAATCAACTGTGAAACAGTATTAATGATTTTTTTAAATCCTCATTCAAAGTAGAAATCAAGTTAAAATGTCTGTTACAAAGTAATTATGCATTTTTTGATCTTCTGTCTGAAATGAGAAGGAGTGATGTTGGTCAAAAGTCGGAGACAGTTCCAAACAAGTTTATTGGAACGAACTGTCATGTTTTAAACCTCTCAGACAGAAACAAGAAAAGCTGGCACCTGTGGGTCTGTCATTTCCCCAAAACATTTCTCTGTCTGTTCCCAAACATCTCCGCTGTTTTTCTGACTTGTAGTAACCCTCTGACGTCACTAAAACCACACCCCTGTTGGTTCTTTCAACCAACCAGGACTTCCCAAAAGTGACCGGAAGCAGAACTCTTTAAAAGTCAACACTTCTTAGTTCCAGTTAGTTCGGGGAGAGGACAGAAGTTACGAACAGCAGGACAGAAGTTCAGAAGTTCCAAAAGTTCTGAAGTGCTGGACTTAGTTGGGAGTTCTTCCGAGTCTAGTTGGGATTATGGAATCTTCCATATCTGAGTGGAACCTCTGACGGACTCACAGCTCATGTGAGTCCACCCGTGAGGTGAGCGTGTTGTTGAACGGAGTACCGTCACTACTTCGGACGATTCTCAGCCATCCTAAGGAGACGCTGAAAGGTAGCGTTGAAATGGAACTCCGTACCGGAGCTGACCTATCTTCTGCAAAGGTAACGAGTCGCTTCACTACCAGTGTACCGAGGCTGAGCTGGGTTCGGATGGAGGGTGCCGTTCTTCGTCAACACACTTTCCCTCATCCACCTTTTCTCTCCATTTAAACTCCTTCATTTCCCATCTTTAAAACTCTTCTATCTTGCCAGTAATTAATCCAGATATCTTCAGAAATGTCTGTTGTTTTTATTAAGTAAAATGTGCCAAGTTTTATTAATCAGAGCCGATAAGAATAATCAAGTGTACAATGTTTTGATGTTAAATTTTGATTCTGTTAATAAATGACCACATTCATTTTGATGGTTCAAAAAAAAATTAACGTCTCATGTCACTGATTAGACCATCTCCAACACAGTACCTCCGTCACATATCTGTCAAGTAGCTCGAAAAAGAGAGAACCCGTTATTAAATATTGATTGTAGTGGAGCTCCTAAGCTAAACTAACCCTA